CGCACTGATAAACGAGGATAATTAACTGTAGAAAATGTATTCATGGAAATACTACAAAATTTATTCAAATTGCAAAAAAAGCAGTTTGAATTGAATTAAAAATCTTTATTAAAAGGATTTCATACATTTCATTTAAATATATATATATATATATATATACATATATATATAAACATATACATATACATATACATATATGTATAACATTTTTAATTGAAAGCGCATTTAAATGTCGACTCGATGTCATTCCGGCTTAATCTTGGCTCACTTTGCATTTGCAAATGTAATTTACGCATTTCGACTATATTAATTTCGCATTCCTTTTAGAGTCTGACGAATGTTTTACATTTTCTTGACGTTGATTGATTTGCGAGTAAAAGCCCAACTCTTGTTAATCAAGTACAGCCTTATCAGTTGCTTGTCATAATCGGGTTTGCCATATAGTGAACTCAAGGCAATTACCCAAAGAGCAGCCACATAAGACGCACAGCTAATTTGGGGCACTCAGCAGCAGCAGCTCATTTGATAGCCAATTTCATGGCTCTATTAACAGATTTGCCTTTGGCCGCCTATAACTGGTGGCTAATCCTGCTGATGCCACCTGGAATTTAATTATATTCAATGCTCAATTGAGGTGCCTTACAGGATTTACAAGTGACTTCCGATTTCCGCCTTCCTTGTGTCACATGACACAAATGGCACGCAAATCCCGGCCATAGATATATCTGCAATCACAGCCAAACATATCTTCCGGGCCGACTGGCCCAGGTCTTGTGGGGCAAATGTAATCATGAAATCACGACCGTAACCCCAAGAGGAGGAGGCCAACTGAGCAGTCGCTAATTCAATTAGCGCCCCAAAATATAAATTCCCTCAACTGTCCCCCCAGTTAGCAATTCAAAGTCGAAATTAGACTCGGAGTTGTAACTGCCGCTGGCACTTCTGCTTAGCCGGCCCATATAATTGGTTATAATGTGTACATAAATCAGGGGCGTTTGTCGTGGGCGACGGCGGCTATGAGAATCTGTGACTACAGTTGCGCTCAAACACATAACGCGTCATGATTTGCGGTGGGCTTTATGACAACACTAGCTAACATAGAACTTGAAGCAGCGAGTCGTCTTGGCGAACTAACTGAATAGTTAAGACAGGCTCATAATATACAGAAATAAACAGCGTATTGGTCCACACAAGTGCCAAAAACTGTCGCTTCTTATTCGGAATCTTAAAGAATATTTCCTAAATAAATTTTTATCATTGCAAGCTATTCTAGTAGCCTTTATTTGAGACTCTGCCTTCAGCTGATATTTATCTTTTATCTATCTATCTGAGCTTCCCTCTTTATAGACTGATTTTATTAGACATGTATTCAAATTGGTTCTTAAGTTTACTCTTACCACAAAGTAACTTTACTTTCCATTCTGCACAGCACTGGAAAGTCTTTGCGTGCAACCCGTAGGACAGTGTTGTGAACCGTAGCAGAGAAATGCAAATGCAGAAGCCTGAAAGTGCTTGCAACTGCTAATAATAGGCATTATCATTATGTTCAGGGGGGATAGGTAGGGTGCTCGTAGAGGGAAACTCGATAACTATTTCACACAGACATTCGGCTTGTTGAGTTGCACGCTGTGCGGGCAACCGGGGAGGGGAGATAGAGAGAAAGAGTAGCAGTCTTCTTGGCTGGGGTTTCGGTTACACACGCACACACACACAGGCAGACGGTTGCACACCCACTTGCACTCCTGCTTTAACATGCATTTCTCATGATACGGAATTTTGTTCAGTTGACATTTTGACATTTGGCAGCTGGTGCCAAATTAACGCGGCATCAATGCAAGCCAGCGTGGTTTAGGGGAATTGCGGTGTAAGGGGAACAGGGAAGGGCAACTGCTACAGTTGGCTGTGCTGAAAAATGAGGTTGAGCGCATAAACCCAGCCACAGAATGGCGCCCAAGGGGTAATCCGGGCGACTGCTAACCAACTGCCTGACGCACTCACTAATTTATCATGTTCGACAGTTGTTATTGTTGACAAGCTACAACAGACAGAGAGTGCAGCAATGTGTTAAATTCCAGGCCATGCTGGAAGTCTTAATTGAAACAGATACCCGGCTCTAGGTGGCCACTAAAGTGAGCTGCTCAGCTGTATAAAATATGCGTAAAGGATGTGGCAGGACAATGGAGTTTTGAATAATATACAGCAGCCAATCAACTATGCATGACAGGCAGCTCATATTCGGCATAGAATTTCAATGAACTATACCAAGAATCAGGCCTGATGAAATTGGAACTAAAATTATTCAAGACTAAATGGCAAAATCTTCAACTAATGCGTCCAAGGATGTAAATATAAGTCGATGACTCCGTGTTGGCGGGGGGTGAGGTGGAATGTGTGTGGAGGCGTCTGTTGTCAAAATCAGGCTCAAAGCCAACATGGACAACAATAGATAATGCATGTGACACATATGTGTACAACAAAGACAAGAGGCATAAAGAAACAGGCCACACGAATACAACAAGAGCTTGCCACAAACAGGAGCAGCAACAACAACAATAACAAGCGCAAGCAGCCTCAGCTTGACGATGGCCAGGATTTATTGTTGGCAGCCAAGAGCTGTAATAAATCGAAGTCAAGCAGACACTTTGCCGCTGCTTTTGCCATTAAAAGATAAAAAATCAATCTGCAAGAGAGATAAACGAGAACAACGCAAGAATGGAAGCAAGAACTCCGAAGCTACGCTATACATTTTCAGATTTGATATTAGTTAATTGTGTTCTTATTAGAACTTTATTAGACTGTGATGGGAGTATCATAGAAATGTAAATATGAGATATAAAATCTATGCGCATGCAATACAATGAACCAAGCAAATCAAGTGAGGTAATTCAAGCAGACTAACAAGGGAAGACACAGCTTCAAATTTGCGCTGGAAAATCCTCAATATTGTAGTTGTGGCAAACGTAATTTGAATCATAACAAAAGATAAGTTGACTCAATTTGAAATTTACTTTGTCAATGTATTTGCGACAAGTTGAGTTCTTTGTCCGCTCTCGAAATCCTTGCCACTGAGCTCTGCACAGGGACTGAGAGTAGCAACTAAGTTTATTCACATTTCATTCGTTTACCCACTCACATACACTCATAAATTGCCTTGAAGCTGCAAGTGGACCAAGCAGGAGTTGCTTGGCCAGTCAACGTGACGTATGCGCAATGTGCCAACACTTTGACTAAGCACTTAATTTAAGGCTGCCTTCATAAACAGAATGCAAACATGTGCCCAACTCTTGAGTCCGGCTGCACACACTTTGCCAGATGCTGGGCTCGCATTTCAATTAAGCTCCGGCTTTCGTAGCATTTTTGCAGACAATTAGTCCACAGCATGAATTATGGCTTGACTTTTATAAGTAAATCATGGTCAGAGCTGGTCATAAAATAATTTTAAATAATGGCCAGAAAAAAGCAAACGCAAAAAAAGAGTAAGCACTAAGAAAATTTAAAAAAAAAAGATAGATAAAAAACTTAGCTGCATGTGTGTAGTTAACTATTATGGCTGTGCCTGTGTGCCTGGGCACAGCTTATGCTATGCAACTTTTGTGCTTCATTTCCGTTTCCGGCTGCTCACATGCACATTGACTGCAGGCAAAGTCAAAGACTAAGAGAAACAGAGAGACAGGAAGAAAGAGAGAGAAGGATGAATATGTGAAAGCATATGCATAATGGCAAACGTGCCGAAAGCCAAAACTATATGCCCAAAAACAATGCTAGGGTGTATACTGAAAGAGGACACATATGTGTGTGTGTGGGTGGAGCAAACTGAACCTCGTTTGTTTTGACTTTCAATTGGAGAGCTGTTGCTTCTGGCTGCGAACGGCTGCTCGCTGCCAGCCAGCCAGCCAGCCAACCAGCCCCCCGCCAGTCAGCCCGATTGCTGTCTGTTTCCCGTGTGCCTGGCTGCCTGCTGCTACTGGCTCCTTGGCGAACTTTGGCCATTTGTTTGCTGCCTTTTGGAAATATAATAAAGACAGCACTGGGCACATAATGCATTTTACTTGTTTACATAAATATTTGCACAAGATGAGAAAAAAGAAAAACGAGAGCCGGCAATAGCAGGATGCTCGCCCACAATGCACAAAGGCCACCTATGGCAAGGCAATTCGCACATATTTTCTAGTATATTATATGAAAAATCTTTAATTTTGTTGTCAAGCTGCATGCACCATGCAATTTCTTCATAGGAACACAAATATTTGTGCCGTTTATTCAATATGTCTAGTCATATTTCGTTGTTTACACGACTCACGCTGCCATCTCTAGCATTTGGCATAACTTGCTTATCCTTTAATATATCCTTGCTCCAGCCCTTAGCCAATTGCTGTTGCTGTTGCTTATCAATTGCAATGTCTCGACTCGTTTACTTCATTCTTTACATTGTCTTGTCCTGGCCAAGAAGATGATGGGTTCAAGTTGCAATTCTGAATGTTTGTTTTGCAACCCCGGAGCAAATGTTCTTTGGTCCTTCATGTCTCGCAGGTCACTTTGGATATTTATCACAATTTTTATAGAACTTTTTATGTGGCAGCAGCCCCAGCAATAACTATGAGCATCAAATGGAAAAAGTTTCATTTGATTAGTCAACCAGCATGAGCAGGGGCGAGGCAATGGCAACACCCCTGAGATTTAGGCAGTTGACAGCTTCAAAATAAGTAATGAAAAGAAAAAAAAGCCAAAAGCAAATAGCAAATGGCTAAGGCTAATGGTAAAGTTGAAGTAAAAGTTGCTTCAAATAAATTTTGAACTGGAAATTCAAATGACTCGAGGACATTAATTGTAGAAAACTTTTTAGATAACTCATCCTTTCAAGGCAGCAATCAACTGTGACCTGACACATGTCAATTGCATTATAAAGATTAAGCAAAAAGGGTTAACTTTTAATTACTTTTATAATATATAGCTTAATACTTGTAATAACTAACTAACCAAATCAACTATTTCCATTGCAGCAGCAGCTCAAGTGAATCGGCTACATTAAATCAACTCAACTCAGCATATACCTTACGTAAAGTAAGTTTGATAAACTAAGAAATATTTCAACAAAGCCAACAGCCAGCCATATTGTCTTACATTAAGTTTTTATTTATGTATAGTTGGACACTTGTACAGTCTGCATTTTCGTAAATATTGAAGTTTTTCTAATTACAATTTGATTGGTTTTTCTTTTGCAATCAATGTATTCTATGCACTGTCAAAGGCCTCAAGCATTTGCTTTGGGATAAATACTGTAGGCAGACTGACTGTGCTTACCCAACACCCAACACCCAACACCCACACTTTTCAATTACCCAGGACGCCCGAAGCAAGGCTTAAGCAACCATGTCAATTTGTTGGGTACATACATTGCTCCACACAGAGCAGTTGAAGAGGAATGGCGCATAGGATAAAAAACGGAAAAGTGCAGCTCAAAGTCATTTGCACTGTTTGGTTTCCACATCCGCAGTTCCAATTACGTTTTGTGGCCGCGAAGTAAGCATTGGCTGTGCTGTGCAATATGAGATGTGCGTGCCCAAGGAATGCTGTTCTTTGCTACAATCTTCTACTCCCGTTTGACTGCAATCTCTCAGTTGCCAGAGCAGAGCGTACAGCCTTCACCCACATTCAGCGCAAATAAAGCAAAGTCAGTAGCAATGATTTAATTACGCAAACAAGCAGCTTAAGAGGTGGCAAGGGGTGTGCCGGCTTGAGTTGCTTGCCAGTTGGGAATATGTCAAAACAAACATAAAATGGCGGCTTGTGCCACTTGAGCTGCACGTTGCTCATACGTCGCGTTGTCAGCCTCCAAGGCGCATTCTCGACAGCTGTGTGCCCGTCTGTTTGTCGAGCGCCTTCTGTGAATTCACTCAACTCCACTTCCCTCTCAACTTCCCTTTGGTTGGGAAGCCTTCATCAGTCGCCGTCTTGAACGAAAAATGCAATTCAAGCAATTTTCAATTTTCGTTGCAGGCACGTCGCGCCCCTGGCACAAGATGCGCATAGCTACCCAACCAGAACAGTCTTTACTGTTGGCCAAGCCCCATCTTCCACTGTCTCTCCCTCTGTGTTCACATCTTACCCCTGGCCTTGCCAGTAAGCCTGCTTTACATCAAATTGAAAAAGCAAACTTGTCGCGCTAAAAATTTTTATCATTCCGCAGGTCTACTGCCAATTTTTTGCTTAACCCAATCCTTATCCCGCTCAGAGCAGCTGACGTTAGCTCCCTTGTAACCTGCTGCCTGACCCCTATTCGGCGTAACCCTCTCTCCTGATCAGCTACTTTCTACCAGCCCCTAAGCCTGGGAGCACTTTTATGGCTTAAGCAGCGCTTTGCAATGCGTTAAAATCGTGCGAAAACTTTTTGCACAAGATTTTATTTTATTTTTTCTTTTTGCTAAAAGTTGCCTGTTAGACGCGTTATTTTACACTCTCTCTCTCTGTCTCCTTCGTTCTCTCTCATTTTCTTTCTCGTTCTCATCACTTCGCTTGCAACTTTCGCTGTTGAGCTCAAAATTAAGGCATTAATGTTGGTTTTATGGATTCGTCTAAATTGGTTTCCCTTTCGCCTGGACTTGGCTCGAAGACTGTTGGCCTGGCAGTTAGTTAGCGAAATGTGCTTAAAGTACAGCAGTAAGCTTCGCAGCATTGGCAAGTGCATTCAAATAACTGTAACAGTAAACATTTAGTTAATCTCTTTTGCTTTTGTTCTTTAGCAGCTGCTCTGCAAATCTTTGCTAAACGAACTGAAATAATCTGCGAACTGGCCAACATTTTAAGTATGAGCTAAGACCAAGTTTAACGAGATTTATGTTTTTATAATGTTGTAATGAAATACATTAACAATGAATAGAAAACATTTAAGAATAACTGCGCCGAGATTGTGCTGCAACTTTGACATTTTGAACTGATTCATATTTACTCGAAATCGTTTACTTAAAATCATAAATACCAAAGCTTCGAAAGCTATGAAATTGGATCAGATAATAACCTTTTTTGAACTTAGCTCCGAAGCTTGTATCAAGGTTGTAATGGGTTCAATGATACATTAAATAATGCAAATACAGATTAAGACCCAATCAAACTTCATTGACACTAACTCAGATACTTAAAGCCAAATATAGGGTAAATATGAGAATCAAATAAAATTCTGTGGTACAATCTGGGCGAATTCTTATTTAATGTCACCAAATTTTCAGCTTCAGCTTAGTTAAGTATCTGTCAATGAATGAGTCGCAGGTCGAGCAGGGTTCTTAGCTTCGCCTTAGCCAACGTAAGCTTCTCCTGCTCCAATTTAGCTTAGCTGATAACTTGCTCGATTTGTACAACGAGTAAAGTTTTCTCTATTACGGCAAAAACTCATTAGCCCGAAGGTAGACTTCTATGTAAACACGTAGTTTGGACTGTTTTACATTTCGGCACAGCACCAGTAAAAAGTGAAACTTTACTCGTCGGCTTACACAACGTTTTGCTGCCTCTCACCCTGTCAGCAGTTGGCTAAGAGGGCCTACACACTTTTTCAAGCCCAACACTTGTCAAACAAAAAGCAATTTACAATGAGAGACCTCGACGATGGGAATGGTTGGGCCGGTAAAGCCTTCCAATGCACAAATGCAATGCTAAAACAGCAGCAACAGCAAAAACAAAAACAACAACAACAACGATAACAAAAGTAATACAAATGACTGCAAATACTCGAAGCAAACAGCAGCAACAAAAACAAAAGCGTTGAAAAAAAAACCCATAAAGAAATGAAAGAGATTTTCCAAAGTCATTTGGCGAGTGTCGAGCGACGAGACGACGACGACGCCGACGATAACGAAACCGAAGTAGGAGGGCCAAGGGCGGCGAGTGGCAAAGTAACGAAAGGAAAGCGGCGAGTGAAAAGTATCAAGTGCCGAGCAACAAAAGGCAGGCGACGAGCTGCGAACAATGCAACTGCTGCAACAACAGCAATTAAAAAATGAGTCTAAGTCTTGAGCAATTCGAATCAAAAAGCTGAAAAGCAAACCGTATAAAGCAAACACTAAAGCAGATTATATTCCAACCGAACTGCAAAGCTCAAAGGAAAAGAAGATGAATATGAAGAGCACTTCACGTTCGAAGGCATATTTAAATGAGAAGATATAATTTGAGAGTAGAGTATAATTCCAGAGTAGAGAGAGAGCTCGTTGTTCAAATATATTTATAAAATATTTCATTTATTTCTTTTTGAACAAAGGTGTTACATTACACTTTTAGCCGTAACTGTAGCTGGGACTTTTTTTTATTTTCAAATAGAACACAATGAACTCTTGGCCTTTGGTGACCAATCAATCTTGCGGCCCAGTCCTGGCCAATCCCAACAGCCTGGCCATATGCCTGTCCATGTCCATGTTCCCGTGGACCGTTATGCCGGCTGCTACTTCATCTTCATTCATTTCGGCAATTGCTTCGGCATTGGCTTTTACCAGTTTTCCCAGTTTTTTTCTCGATGTTCTTTTTTTCTTGGGTGGGTAAAATGTGTGTATGTCGACGATGGCGACAATTGCAAATATTTTGCAATTTTCCTGTTTTGTTAGTTGGCCATTTCTCTTACCCCAGCTCTTTGTGCGCTGCTGCTTGTTCCTCTTTCGGCACTTGCTTTGCATTTCGACTAGGAGAAGGATTGTCGTACCTCTGTTTGCCAGTTTGTTTGTTTCCTCTGACAAGTACAAGCGCGGGCCGGGCAGCTGGCTGGCTGGCTGGTTGGCTAGCTGGTTCGACTTGTCATGCTTGAGTGCTGTTGCCTGCAGCGCCGAAAGTATGCAACTGACTGTACAACTGACAGCAGGCCCTGCTCAGCCAGCCAACCAAACAGCCCAACAATACCCTATCCTCAACCCGTTTGCCTCAGCAATGAAGATTGATCACAGTTGGCGCAAGTTGAGCGCCGTTTTTACAGCCCCAACTGCAATTTTTATTCGTGCCACTTTCCGGCGACCTTCTGCTGCTCCCCATATCCACCCTCCCCGACTTCGCCATTCCATTCCATCCGCTGCCTGTCGTTTAATATGAAAAATTGCGCCAAATATTTGCGAAGCGCGGCAAAAGATGCAGCAAACGTTAAAAGTGGCGCCTGCTCTAATTGTATGAATTTGTCAGTATTGTAAAAGGGATAACAAATTAATAGTTGGCCCGTATCCTGAACCAAAGGAGCGTTCTGAACAAAAAGTGTCTGAGTAAAATTACACGAAATAAATTATAAGTCTAGTCAGAAATGTCTACTAAGATAAGAAGGCCCTTTCTGTTTGTCTGTTATATTGCCACCTGCGATGAAATTCATTGGGGCTTAGATCATAGAATAGACTATGGAAATACTTCTAAAAGTTTCTTCAGCTATTGCTAACAGAAGCTTTCGGCTTTATGCAATCCGAGCACATAAAATTCTTGAATATATATTATATCCACTTATATATTGTTTATTAGCTAATTTCCAACATATGCAGCAAAAAGTATGCAGTCTATATGTTGGACAATAATTTTGGCTATCATAATATTTTTATTTTTTATTTGTAATTATAATTCTGTTAAATATATTTTGGACCTCTCGGGCTTTTATCACATGCTTTTTCTCTTTAAATTTATACTAATTAAATAGTTGTTTAATATTCATTTAATCATTTTAATTGTAGATACTTTAGGGCATTTATGTATATATAAATATGCAATATATGTCAATTTCCAATTCCCATTAATAAAGCTAGTGAATATATTATACTATATGCAATCAGTTCCACATTACGTATACGTAAAATAACCCATACCCACAATGAGGTCCCAGCATTCTTCAACCGACATTCAAAAACATTTGTTCAAGCCACAACAATAGCAACAACAACAAGAACAGCTCAGCCGTGTTGGCCACTTTGTTTGTGCTCACTCGAAGTGCCCTGCGAAATTGCCGTGTCGCTGCGGTTGTCATTCAGCACTGCTGCTTTGCCACTGTGTGCCAAAAAGCAACGAGTGTGCAACCAACTGTTGCACGCTTACCCATTGACTAACGGACTGTCAAACTG